ATCTATACACAGGACAGTGCAGCATTTACAATCCCAGCTATACACAGTCTAACAGTCCAACGCAGTCTAAATTTGATTCACACGGCTGTAGTTTTGCAGACGCAGCCTCTCTCAGATCTCAGACACCTCCTATTGGGAGGACACCTTTTCCTAGTCTCCCTGCTGTGCCCTGAGTTAGGAATGAACTGGGGGAAGGGTAGATGCGAAAAAAATCAAAAATAAAAAGATTCTGAAGAAAAAGCAAATATATGTTGAAGAGAAAAAGCTTTGTGATTCTGTGCCATAACCTTCAGAGTCTGGAATGCTTTGTTGAAAACAAAAATAAACAAAACAATTATTGTGATTTCAAAAGAATTTGTGTGGGGTTTGAGGTAATGGAGGATCACATTACAATGATCCAAGGGGCCCATGGCAACACAAGGGTTTTCTAGATACCAATGATCAAAGTTAAACTCCCAGTGGTCCCGGCCAATTCCTGCTGCAGTATATTGTTAACACATTGGATAGGCAAACAGCTCAACCAGTACACAGCCTTGAGTAGGAAACACTGTTAACTTTACTTTGTGTCCGCATTTTCCACTTTTCCCCTTCTCCTTCAGAAATTGCACACCAGGATCGGTTTGACCTAACTTCAAAGCTGACAATTCCCAAGAAATAAAGCTCACGTCTCTCCTCAACTGCACCACCCCCATCATCGTAAATCACTCAACAGTTACTCAAAGTGCCCAGACAGTAACGCTATCTTCAGGATCGTGTTCCTGCACTGAAGGCACATCAATAACAAGAACTTCTGAACATGTTGCTTTTCTCTTGTATGACAATTAACCAAGGGCTTTCTATTCCGTAGATGTTGTGCTGTCTGCTGTATGTTGGCAGGAAATGACAAGGGAACCTTTGATTCTACGGAAAGTAATATGCTAAAACCGGCACAGGAGCGATGGAACAGGGTCTACAGATTCACAAATCATTACCAGCAACAATATGCACTAACAAGGCCATCGACAGTTCAATATTTTGGTGGATGAGTGGGCAGACGCTTGGTTGAGCTTAATGAATATTGGGAGAAGTGGCTTAGCTGCAAATTCTTTTGTTAACCTTAACTAGTATAGTCCAGAAATTTCAACATTGTTGAAAAAGGGCACATTTTGTCAAAGTTTTTTTAATCTGTATTCATCAGGACAATTCACAAAAGGTGAATATAGGAGGAACGGCGAGTACATTTGCAGATAGTGCTGCAGTGGACAGCGAAGAGGGTTATCTCAGAGTACAACAGGACCTTGATCAGATGGGCCAAGGAGTGGCAGATGGGGTTTAATTGAGATGTGAGGTGTTGCATTTTGGTAAGACAGACCAGAGCAGGACTGATACACTTAATGGTAAGGGCCTGTGGAGCATTGCTGAACAAAGAGGCCTTGGAGTGCAGGTTCATATAGTTCCATGAAAGTGGAGTCGCAGGTAGACAGGATAGTGAAGAGGGCGTTTGGTATGCTTGCCTTTACTGGTCACTGCACTATAGGAGTTGGGTTGTCATGTACTGGCTGTACAGAACATTAGAATACTGTATTCAATTCTGGTCTGCCTGCTCTAGGAAACATGTTGTTAAACTTGAGAAGATTGCAGAAAAGATTTACAAAGATGTTGCCAAGGTTGGAAGACTTCAGCTATATGGAGAGGCTGAATAGGCTGGGGCTATTTTCCCCAGAGCATCAGAGTCTGAGGGGTGACTTATAGAGGTATATAAAATCATGAGGGGCATGGATAGGTTGAATAGTCAAGGTCTTTTCCCCAGGATAGGAGAGTCCAAAACTACAGGGTGTAGGTTAAATGCGAGAGGGGAAAGATATAAAAGGAACCTAAGGGGCAATTTTTTTCACGCAGAGGGTTTTTTAAAATTCATTCACAGAATGAGGACATTGCTGGCTGGGCCAGCATTTATTGCCCAACCTGAATTGTTTAGAAACAGCCACATTGCTGTGGGTTTGGAGTCACATGCAGGCCAGACCAGGTAAGGATGGCAGTTTCCTTTCCTAAAGGACATTAGTGACCAGATGGGTTTGTTCCCCCATAGATTCATCATTAGGCTCTTAATTCCAGATTTTTACTGAATTCAAATTCCACCATCTGCTGTGTTGGGATTCAAACCCTGGCCCATAGACCACTACCTGGTCTATGGATTAACAATCCAGCGATAATATCACTAGGCCATCACTAGTGTGGTGCGTACATAAAATAAGCAGCTGGAAGAAGTGGAGGAGGCTGGTACAATGACAACATTTAAAAGGCATCTGGATGGGTATATGAATAGGAAGGGTTTAGGGATATGGGCCAAATGCTGGCAAACGGGACTAGATTAATTTAGGATATCTGGTTGGCATGAACGAGTTGGTCTAACGGGTCTGTTTCCATGCTGTACACCTCTATGACTGTAAGACTGTAAATATGAATATGAAGGGGATCAACAGTTTATACTTGATGGGAATAGGTGCTGATTGGTTGGGAACTGGTCTTCACTGGTAGAGATGTTGCCATGGGGAATGTAGCATCATTTAACTGGTGTATCCTCAATGGCAACAGCTCTACCAATCAGAGTCTAGTAGCCAACCAATCAGCACCTGTTTCTCATCCAATATAAAATATTGTATGCATCAATGGGCCTTTTGGTGATTGGCAGTTTCGTTCCCTAAAGGACATTAGTGAACCAGATGGGTTTTTCCAACAATCAACAATGGATTCACAGTCATCATTAGATCGTAAACTCCAGATATTTATTGAATTCAAATTCCACCATCTGCGGGATTCGAACCCAGGTTTGCAGAACATTATCTGGGTCTCTGGATTAACAGTCCAGCAATAATACCACTAGGCCATTGCCTCCCTGGTTAAGTTGTTGGTGTTTGTAAAAGGTGGGGGGGGGGGGGGGAGCGGCGGTGATGGTAAGCAATGCATGGTCCCTCTAAAAGAGGATGTGCCTTTTCTATGCGTAGAGATTCGAAAAGGATGTCTGTGGCAGCAGCTTATGGATTTGCAGGTGCACAGAGCACCTGAATTAAAACATTCACACCAAAAGGCTGTATAATTTGCAGGCCAAACAGCAGTTTTGTTTTGTTATCAAGACAACAAGTTTTGAATTTAGCCAATCAATTTGAACCAGGTACTTAGATACCAAAAAAAAACAATTAAATTTAAATCTGATGGTTTTGACAACATAGGATCAATCCTATTGTAAGCAATATTGATATATCATCAAGGGTATGAAAGAAGGGGCAGTTGGGCAAAGACAGGAGAGCGAACTGCCATCTGCAAGAATTAACAGCTCTCTGCTCTCGAGAGAATCGCTAGCTCTCACAGTCATCTCTAAGTTTTAGAGAAAGCACCATCTAAATCTAAAGATACCTACGGCACAACTAGTTAATATTCCTGACAGAACATTCGATGGAGAAGGCATTCCTGACAGAAGGTTCAACAGAGAAGGCACAGAACATTCTGGAAGACATGTAACCTGGCTGTAATTTCGAGAGACTATATTCTATTATTTTTAAATTTTATTTTATGTAAGTGGAATTTGTATTTATTGGAATAGCATATCATAAGAATCTTGTTTCATTTGGAAACAGTTAGTAGTTAGAAGGGGTTTATTCGCTTTGTTAATAGTTTAGTTAATTTGTTCACTGTCAGAGTTAGATAAATAAATTGTTATTTGTTGATTGTAAAGTGAGCGTCAGGGGTTTATTTCACTTGACCACTATAAGTTGCTGAAAAAACAGACTCGCCCCGCCTCACACTCCGTTTAACAGATCACAGGGTGAGATGCTCCTCTCTGGGTGCTCCTCTCTTTCAGTTTTAGCTATCAGATGGGGGTCCACTTTATAACACTTTGTCCTGAAAAGAATTGAACATAAGGATCAAATCATTGCAGATTCTGGAATCTGTACTGAAAACAAAAAAATGCTGGAAATCACAGTGGGTCAGGCAGCATTCACGAAGAGAGAGCAAGCTAATGTTTTGATTCTAGATGAAGAGCTCTGATGAAGAGTCATCTAGACTTGAAACATTAGCTTGCTGTCTCTATATGGATGCTGCCTGACCCACTGTAATCTCCAGCAAGTTTTTTGTCACAAAAGTAAGGATATTGGACTTCAGTTACACAGGGCATCGGAGAGACCTCGTCTCGAATACTGTGCGCAGATTTTAGTCTCCTTGATTAAGGATGCAAATACATTGGAGGAATGTTACCAGATTGATGCCAGAATGAGTGGGTGATCCTTGATGGACAATGTGACAGGCTGGGCTTGTATCTACTAGACTTGAGAAACGTGAGGAGTGACTGATTGAAGTGTGCAAGATCCTGAACGGTCTCGACAAGGTGGATGTGGAAAGGATGTTTCCTTTTGTGGGCAAGTCCAGAATGAGGGGGCACTGTTTAAAATCAGGGGTGACCCTCTTGGAACAGAGGAGAATTTTTTTCTCTAAAAGTTGTGCGACTTTGGAACTCTCTGCTTCAGGAGGCTGTGGTGGTGGCCAGGGTTGGGGGTGGGAATTAGTTATTGAATATTGTGAAGGTGGAGACGGAGAGATTTCCTTGCCTGAGAAGCATCGAAGGGTTATCAGAAAGAGATGGGAATAGAGAACTCAAAACACGGGCAGGTCAGCCATGATCTAACTGAACAGTGAAGCACAGTCGAAGGGCTGAATGGCCTGTGCTTCATAAGTGGACAATGATTGTTACAGTAACTGGTAAAGCTCAGCGAGTCCCTATAAGCCTCACCATATCCTTGTATTTCTGGCTACACAGAGTGAAGATAGAGGCCAGCCAGCTTTGTGGGAGGCAGCTGAAGGAAAGGAGGATGGTACCTGGGCGATTGTCTCCGGATCCAGGGGCTTATGGTTGCTGAAGCTCTTGGACCTTCCCGCTGCCATCGCCTTGCGAACCTGCGGGCTGTCGACCCTATTGGCTGAGGGCCGGCGGGTAACCGCGTTCAGGCCCCCATGTGCCACCGCTGGCCGTTTATCCGCTGTCTCTTTGTTGCAGTTTGGGGTTACCTGGGCAGAGCTCCGGGGACTGGCTGAGGTTTGTGGTTCTCTGTCTGTAGGAGCTGGCACGAGCCCATGGCCAGCGACACCAGGTCCTTCAGTGGATCGGAAAGAGCGGCGGACACTGCTAGCCTCGGCCTTCTTCTTCTGCCTGAGTCAATAATCCAAAAGGTACAATTTACAACCAGAGAACTGTACAGCATTGGAGGCCATTACACTTAGAATCATAGAACCCCAGCAGTGAAGAAAGAGGCCATTCAGCCCATCGAGTCCACACTGACACCCAGAACCACATCTCCATCTCATCTCTGTAACCCTGAATTTCCTATGGCTAATCCGCCTAGCCTGCACATCCCTGGATGCCATGGACAACATAGCATGGCTAATCCAGCTAACCCATACATCTTTGGACTGTGGGAGGAAACCAGAGGACCCAGAGGAAACCCATACAGACACGGGAAGAACATGCCAACTCCACACAGACACAGGCTGGAATTGAACCCGGGTCCTTGGCGATGGAGTCACCATGCCACCCACTTCCAAAGAGCTCTTTAATTAATCCCACACTCGCACTCGCACTCTTTACCCGAAGCTCTGTGATTCCTCAGCTCCTCCTAGTATTTATCTAACCAGCAAATCTACAATTGGATTTGTAACTATCACAAGCACCAATTAATCAGTGCAAATCAATCTCCAGATAAAATCCTCTAGGTTAATCATCACTGGACACAGCCCTGAACAGCATTTTGAAAATCATGCAACTCATTTAGCACCGATTTCCAGTTTGGCTGAGAACAGTTACAGAGCCACTGGAGTTGCTTCCTGCTGTAGACAAGCCAGAGCACAGAGCATTCCCCTTTGAAAAGGCAAACTCTCTCTCTATTTTCACATCTTGTGTTCCCATTTTCAGACAGTAACTAGTTTCTGACCTGTTCAAGTTCGCTAAGTAGATATCAGCAACATGTCCTGTTGGTGAACTGACGCTGCCTTTACACAGGGGCTGTTCCACCGGGGGAGGGGCACTGCTCGGCTCAACGTCATCCTTTGGGCTCAACTGGTCAGAGAATGTGTCGTCACTGAGTGAGAGAGCGAGTGAGGGGTTCGAGGGAGGGGTAGGAGAGAGAGAGGAAGGGGAAGAAAAGGAGAAGGGGGAACAGAGAGGAGAAGAGGTGCATGAGGAAGGGAGAAATGAGAGTGCAAGTGAGAGTTTGGGTGAGCAGAGAACGTGTGGTTGGAGAGAGAGAAAAAGAGAGAGAGATAAATGTATATGTTATTGCACGTAAACATAAAACACATCAATTTAAAAGTACATTGAACATAAAAGTATAAAAATATCTGGAATGATTTTCCTAAAAATCTATGGGTTAAAGTTTGGGTAGTTAAATGTCTTACTCCATCAGAGGGTTATTAGTACTCAGTGAAACCCCTCCTGGGAACTCCCTTCAAACTGAGACACAAATGCCCCCCACCCACAAGTACACCTCCAGAGCTGCTGGCAAATCAGAGGCCAGCATCTCTTGTGCTCAGTGGTGCCAATTAAGGAGGCAGTGGCTGCTGTGGGAATTACAGCCCCAGGGATGCCCAGTCTCACAGAGAATGGATCAAGTTGAAGGTAGCTGATGGCAGGAGGAATCTCATGAGTTGGAGGCTGCCAGGAAGGTGTTGTATAGTGGGATCGGCAGCAAGGGTGGGTGAGGGTGCAGGCTCCACCTCAGCTCTCGATGCCAAGTACCTCTCAGTGCCTTTGAATGAGGGTCATGCCTGGCAATAACTGCCCATTTAAGGACATCAATTGGATCTTCCCATCTCCGCCTACCTTGACAAACATCAGGTAGAATGAGACAGGCAAGTTAGAGGAAAGGGCAGACAGGAGGCAAATGCACTAAATGTGGATAACTAAATGTGGCAAAACATTGCAAGAGGCAAGGGTAGGAGGGGAAATGTGTGGACAACAGAAAGGGACGGTAGGCTTTGGAATGATCAGAGGGTTCAATTACAAAATGTTGTGCAAGTGTGAGCATCGAGATGATTGGTTGGTTGTAGGAGACAGAGGGTGTCGGTGAAGGGCTGTTTTTCAGACAGGAGGCCTGTAACCAGCAGTATTCTGCAGGGATCGGTACTGGGTCCATTTTTGTTTGTCATTTATATAAACAATTTGGATGAGAATACAGGAGGCATGGTTAGCAAGTTTGCAGATCACACCAAAATTGATGGTATAGTGAACAGTGAAGAACGTTATCCAAGATTACAAAGAGATCTTGATCTATTGGGTCAATGGGCTGAGGAATGGCAAATGGAGTTTAATTTGGATAAATGTGAGGTATTGCATTTTGGTAAAACAAAAAAGGACATGACTTATACAATTAATGGTAGGGCCCTGGGTAGTCTTGTAGAACAGAGACACCTAGGGATTTAGGTACATATTTCTTTGAAATTTGGCCACAGGTAGAGAGGCTGGTTTAGAAGGAGATGTGAGGGGCAAGTTTTTTACACAGAGAGTGGTAGGAGTCTGGAACGTGCGACCAGGGGTGATGGTGGAGGCAGATACGATAGGGGCATTTAAGGGACTTTTAGATAAGCACATGAATATGCAAGGGATGGAAGGATATGGACCAAGGGCAGGCAAAAGGGATTAGTTTAATTTGGCGTCATGTTCGGCATGATATCACGGACTGAAGGGCCTGTTCACGTGCTGTTCTGTTCTATGTTCTATGTTGAGCTTGCACAGCATATTGGTCAAACCTCCTCTGAAGTGCTGTGTATAGTCTGGTCACCCTGCTATAGGAAGGATATTATTAAATTGGAGATGGGGTCAGAAAAGATTTACCAAGATGTTGCCAAGAATGGAGGGTTTGAGTTATAAAAATAGGCTAGGACTTTTTTCACTGGAGTGTAGGAAGTTGAACGATGACCATATAGAGGTTTATAAAATCATGAGGGCCATAGATAAGGTGAATAGCAAGAGTCTTTTCCCTATGGTGGGGCTGTTCAAAACAAGGGGGCACCTTTCTTACACAGAGGGTGGTTATTGTGTAGAATGAACTGCCAGACGAAGTGGTAGATGCAGGTACAGTTACAATATTTAAAAGACATTTGGGTAAGTACATGAATAGGAAAGGTTTGGAGGGGTATGGGCCGAATGCAGGCAAGTGGCACTAGTTTAGTTTGGGAACATGGTCGACATGGACCAGTTGGACCGAAGGGTCTGTTTCCATGGTGTGTGACTCTATGACTCTACTTAAAGGCCAACATATCTGGGTTTGATTAATAGGAGCATGGAATACAAGAGGGATGGTTAATTTATGCACAATGCCAGGCATTACATGCAGCTTTGGAGAGCTCATTATAGAAAGGTCATTAAAACATGGCACAGATTCACCAGGATGCTGCCAATGCTGATAGGTGAGCAGGATCTTCAGACAATAGCTCTGTATCCAGTGAAGTGTTTGTTTCATTTGCCACCTGTCTGCCCATTCTGGTAACTTGCCCAAAGCAGAGAGGTTTAACAGAAGATTTAATGAAATGTTTTCAAATCTTAAAGCCATTTGGTACATAATTTAGGGAAAGTTGTGGTTGTGGAGTCAATACACAGAGAATAGGGAGTTTGACTTTCTGTTTAAGAGGTCTGTTTCAGTCTGCAACGTGTTATCATAGGCAGTGGATGAGCAGACCACAACACCTTGTCTGGGAAACAGGAAGGAATATTTGTATCAGAGAATGATGCGAGGTCATGGGGAGAAAACTAGGCTTTCAATTGTTTGGATTGGCTAAGTGGCCTCTTCCTGTGTTGTCGTCTCTAATGGTTCCATGGTCTAACCCAGAGATTTGGAGCTCTATCTATCACACATCTGTCATGATTTTAATGAAAACTTACGTGTCCTGGACCACAATGTATTGATGTGGGACAAGTCCGTCTATTCCATTATGCCGACCCTCCCACCAATCCTCAGAAGCTCGGTGATAGAGCAGGAGGCTCGCGCCTTTCTTAAAGGAGAGCTCCCGAGCTGTGCGTCCAGTGTAATCAAACTTTGCAATGGCTTCTATCGGCTCACCTTCTGCAAAGAGAAGAGAAAAGTAAAGGTTTATTTCCATTTGGAACATTTCTTGCAATGAAAGTCCCAACCATTTCACCTCAAACTGGCCAGAGTCCCTCAGATCCCAGTACCTTCATATCAATTCCTTCGGCACAATCTCAAACGTAGTGGAGCCCTGATCGAAGACAAGCCAATGCCCATATAGATGCATTGTATAGAGTGGACAGAACTGAATGGCACTGAGGGGCAACTCTGCCCAATGTGTCTCTCTAAGTGCACAGCCTGAGCCTCATTGGGAGAGACCCCAGCGGAGGTAAACCCGAAAGTGAACCAGAGACCTCCCTGGTCTCTGTTTACATGCCAATGAGTGAGCCAGCAACTGGTTTGGGGGGTTGGTGTGGGGCTGCTGTTTGAAACAGTGTTGATAGGTAGTCCTATCACTGGACTCTATACCCAACCTCCTCCTTCCATTGACCCTCCTGGCTTTCAGTGTGTATAGCCTAAAGCTGTTTGCCCCATTATGACTCCATTTTGGGGCTCAGTGCGATTTAGGAAGGGTGCTGGAGAGGCCTGACAGTAGGGGGTCCAGGCCTCAGAGATAGTGACAGCTAAATTTCCGCATGTGAACCCCCGCCTTGAGGAGTTGACCCCTCCCCCACTTTGGGAAACACTGACCTCAAGGATTATTTGCAGAAATGATCACAATTACCTCCATTCGAGGAGGGAGAGTTTGAACCAACCTATTCCAATAGGAAATGGCCTCCACCACTTCTGTGGCAGAGATAGGCAAGATCTGAAACAACTTTTGTTGGTGCCTTGGTCAGAGCTCCAGATGAAGAACGTGTGGAGGTGTTATGGAGGCAGGAATAAGGAGCTGACTGCTGATGGCTCAGCTGTTGTTAATTTCAGTGGAAGGTAAAAGGGATGCTGTTTCAATCCATTCTTGGGAATTCCAGCGATTTTTAATTCCATTCTCTACTGACTTTGATCATTCCTTAAGTGTTACTGGGTGAGAATTCTGGAACTCACATGCTGTGTATCTACCTCACACAGACTGTGGGGGAATCAAGGCAGTGATTCCGCACCACTTTCACAAGGAGCATTGAGAAAACATCAAAAATTGGAGATTGCTTCATCATTCAATTCGATCACAGCTGATCATCCAACTCAGTCCTCTCATCCAACTTTCTCTACCTAATCTTTGATTCCTTCAGCCCTAAGAACTATATTGAACTCCGAAGTCACACGACACTAGGTTATAGTCCAACAGGTTTATTTGAAATCACAAGCTGCTCCTTTGTCAGGTGACATGGTCCACCCCAGTCCAACACTCGCACCTTCACATTATACCTAACGCTTCGAAAACATTCTATGTTTTGGCCTCCACCACTTCTGTGGCAGAGATAGGCAAGATCTGAAACAACTTTTGTTGGTGCCTTGGTCAGAGCTCCAGATGTAGAGCATGTGGAGGTGTTATGGAGGCAGGAATAAGGAGCTGACTGCTGATGGCACAAGAGAATACTAGTGACTCTGTGTTACTGTGTGGGCTGTCAGCTACAAATGATGGTTTGTTTTGCCAAGTTCAAGAGTCCAGTCCATACATTCCTGTCTCTGTAATCATTCTGGCACAGTCCTGCACATTACAGCATACATCAGAACGTGGGGAAGGGCTGTGCACTCATCTCACTTTGTTTTTAGCTGCATTCACTTCATTGGCCAGACTTTCCCCGGGATTGAAGTCAATGAAACAATGACATAGTTCAGGGAAAGCTACATGTGTGTAAAAGCCATGCGAGTAACACAGTGCTGACAGTGCTGAGGAAGCCCCTCACTGAAAGCCTGGGTCTTGCCAGCATTGGTTTTCCTGCCAATCCCTCTCCTCCATTGATGGGATGCAGCCGTTTCCCCCCACTGTCTGGTTTCAGTAGCTACCTTCATGTGTGAGTCGAAGACTCTTGTCCTGGGTCAATATCTATCATTCAGCCAACATCAGTGAGGATCAGCTGATCTGGTGGTTTACTTTTTGTCGATTTATTTATTTGTCACGCGTACTAAGTATTAGAATATATAAGTACAGCAAAAAGTGCACAAAACAAAAACCAGAATTAAAAGATTTAACAGACCAAAAGATAAGCATGAAAAAAATGTTCAGATCTCAGAGTCCCAAGTCCCATCTCCACAATGGTGTAGGCGCGACTTAATGACAGTAACGAGTCAAATTCCAATTTTCATCATCCTGCTACAGCAAGACTGAGATTTCCTGATTTATCAAACCACTTACTTCTGGGATCTTGCTGTGCAGTCACTGGCTGCTGCATTCTCTATATTATAACCATGGTCACTCTTACAAAGTGGTTCATTGTTTTGATACATCCTAAGAGCGATTTTTATTTATATTTTTTAATTATTTAGTTTTTTAAAAATTGAGACAATGGGCACTCTGTACGTATCCAACACAAAAAGCAAAATCATCCAAGATCTACTGCTGCCTTCATCATCTGAGCAGAGGCTCCTGGCCAACGATGACAGCATGGGCTGTAGGGGTAAGAGTCACAGACCAGGGACAGTTTCTCTGGATAAAGGAGAAACTATTTAGGACTGAGATAAGGAGAAATTTCTTCTCTCAGAGGCAGATACCACTTTGGAATTCTCTGCTCTGTGGAGGCTCCATCATTGAAAATTTTCAAACAGAAATTGATAGATTTCCATCAAACACCTAGAGCTATGGAGATAATGCAGGAAAATGATATTGAAACAAATCAACCATCATCTCAATGAATGATAGGATGGATTCAAAGGGCTGAATGGCCTCCCCCTCTCCTGTTTTGTATGAACTTGTGAAGGGAGTAGAAACACTGGATGGTTTCTTCTTTCCCCAGCACAAGGGCTGTACTCAATCTCCACACTCTTAACTTCACCCCCTGAATGGGACCCAGTGAACTGAATAACTGGACACAGGAACTTCCTCTCTGTGCAGCTCCACCCCTGTTTGAATTGGTCCCCCCACCCCCTGAATATCAGTATCATGCAGCACTGAACCTCTGCAGCTCTCAGGTCACAGACACTGAGAAAGGAATTAGGGTCAGGGTTAGGATCCTTCAAAGCTGGTGTCTTTTTGTTCTTATAAAAACCAGGATGAGATGTACAGTCAATACTGGCCCACTGCATTCACAAAGGAACACTCAGTAAACATACACAGTCTGGGGCAATTGTGGCTTTCACGCCCAGAGATGAGGAGTTTGTCTTATGAAGAGCGATTGAGGAGTTTAGGCCAATACTGTCTGGAGTTTAGAAGGATGAGAGGAGATCTAATTGAGGTGTATAAAATGTTAAAGGGGGACTGACAAAGTCACTGCAGAGAGGATGTTTCCTCTTGTGGGATAAACTAGAATGAGAGGTCATCATTTTAAGAAAAGGTGGGACAGATTTAAAACAGAGATGAGGAGGAATCACTTCTCCCAAAGGGTGATGAATCTGTGGAAATCACTCCCCCAGAGTGCGATGGATGCTGGGACATTGAGTAAATTCAAGGAGGAGATAGATTTTTAATTAGTAATGGATTGAAGGGTTATGGAGAGCTGGCAGGAAAGTGGAGTTGAAGCTGAGATGAGATCAGCCATGATTGTATTAAATAGCAGAGCAGGCTTGAGGGGTTGAATGGCCTCCTCCTGCTCCTAGTTCTGATGTTCTTATACCATGCAGGGAAATAGAAGGCCAAGTATGACAAGCATCCAAAAGATGGAGCAAAAATGAGAGTTTTAATGATAAGTTTTTATTTAGTTTTGGATGTAGATGTTTTGGGGGATGGTGTGAAACTGGGAGGATCAGATGTCTTTAAACATGGTCCCTCTTTACATTCCATTGAATCAACAGCAGCTGAGCCTCAGTTGCAGCAGTTCCTTGGTCAGATTGTGTTAAAATCAGTGAGAACTTCACCCACATTCCCATTATTCTTTACACCACAGTTAGGAAAGGGTCAAGTCCGCTCTTGTTGCTGAGCTAACACTCAGTGTCACCACATGCACACTTTCACATACACATACCCCTGCTGCCAACTGACGGAGCTAGACAATAGGGAATGGAACAAGGCTTATTACACTAACTCATTCTCCAGCACAGGAACTAAAGAACACAAACCACGTTGTAGGAAGGTGACCCTTTCCTTCAGGGCAGGTCAACTAGATGAAAAATAGCCTTGTTCGTGCTGTTAAACTGCACGTCAGAACATCACAAGGCTCTCAGTGTAGCGTAACAGAGCAATCAGAGCGACCTGAAGTATCACAGACAGTCTGAAGCACACAGTCTCAGCCTGATTCACACATGCCTTGCTTACGCACGTGATGTATCCACACACTCCTCCAATGGAGCCTAGGCACAGAGTGCCAAGAGCAGGAAGGATCGAGACAGGAATTCCAACTATTCCCCGCAGATTTCACCCAGGAGAAATGTCTAATTCTGAAACCACTACAGCTTTAGTAAAACAAAACGGAAACAGCTTTGAAGGTTCGGATTCCTCCCCCACTCAATGTCTGTGACAGGACAGCTGTGGCTCAGTGTGATACTGAACATTCTCAGCTCCTCCTGTGACACAGCCGCTCGGCCAAGTTGTGCAGGAGGCTCTGGGGGATGGGGCAAGTTGAGCTCTGCACTAACCCTTCAAGTACAACAATCTGCATTTATATAGCACCTTTTATGATGTTAAAAGACACGAAAGAAGTGGAAACCAAACACAATTTAGCACCAAGTTACAAACAGAGATATTAGAACACGTGACCTAAAGCAAGGGCAAAGATGCTGGTTTTAAAGGGTGACTTGAAGGAAAAGCGCATAAGTCAGGTTCTGAGAAAGAATTAAGGAGCTTTGAGCTTAGGCAAATGAAGGGACAGTTATCAGGAGATGATGTGGGTTGTGAGACTGTGGAATTCTCTTCCCCAGAGAGGCATAAAGGCAGGTCACAGCACAGAAAGAGACCCTTCGGTCCAACTTGTCTGTGCTGACCAGACATTCCAATCTGACCTAGA